AAGGGACAGAAGGGTAAAAGGGAAGGAAAGGAAAGACTAATGCACACTTCACAGTTATCAAAAGATCACATTTAGAGCTCTTTGACTGCTGCCACACTGCAGAGTTAATGCAGTTTGACACCACTTTAGCAGTCATGGCTCCATCCTATGGCCTCCTGGGATTTGTAGTCTGTTCTGACCCCAGTGCTCTCTGACCAAGAAGGCTGACTATCTCACAAAACTACCAATCCCAGATGTCCATAGCACTGAGCCATGGGAGTTAAAGCAGTGTCAAACTGCATTCATTCTGCAGTGCAGATGCAGCCTACGTTGTTGTCATTTCCAACTTACGCCAACCTAAGGTGAACCTATCATGGGGCCAGATTGGTTCAGAGGAGGTTTGCCATGGCTTTCTCGTGAAAGCGATGTCTTGTGAATCTTCCCCAGCCGTTCCCCATTTGCAAAATACAAGGCATCAGCTTGTCTTCCAAGCGGCGTACAAGCTCCTCCATAAAGGCTGATCAAAGAGAAACCTTCAAAGACTCATCATGGCAAAGCACCATGTAAAACTAAACGGAGACATTCCCGAAATCTGCAAAAACTTGACAAGAGACCTCTTTGTTTCCTGTCTCTGCCACTAAAGCCAGAGCCCTTGGAGGCGAGATAAAGAAGAACTCAAAATAATTTGCAGGGGCCCTGACATACATGACATCTTCATACTCCATTTTGCAGGGCATGTGCCCTGCACAGAAGACAACAATTTGGCGAATAATCAATGCAACCAAGTCTGCAAAGGGATCTTTTAGAAGGGCAAACATAAAACATGCTGTTTCCTGCACTTTCTTAATTTTTAAAAAATGCTGTTTGCTATGCAAAATCACTACATGCAGATTTTGCTCAGAATACAATTGGCTGTCCATATTTGTGGTTTTTGACTTTTGCGGATTTGATGATTTGCAGATTTGAGTACTATGTTCTCTCTAGGAATCTCTAGGTCCTCCACAGCAACTCTGCTGGAAGTTGACCACAGAGTTGTGCTGGAGAACCTAGATTTTCCTAGAGAAAACACCTCTCTAGGCATTTGTAGTTCCTCCAGCGTGATTCTATGGTCAATTTCTGGCAGATGTTGACCACAGAGTTGCACTGGAGGACCTGCAGATTCCTAGAGAGGTGTTCTTTTAGGTTAAAAGAATAGTGTTTTTTATCTGCATTTTTTCCCACATTCATGGGGATCTTACACCCCGAGTCCCAGGAAATGTGGAAGGATCACCATCCATCCCGAATTGTAGATAGGCTTCAAAAATTGCTTGTTTTGCTAAGACTTTCTGCCACTGGAAAGAAAATGCTAAAATGATGGGTGGTTTCCTTCGAGCGGAACGAAAACTAGCAAAGAGTTACATCCCTATCTTTGTCATCCTCCGCTGGACCCATCTGGACCCATCAATATCCGTCCTGAATTTTGGTGCTCAGAAATGGACATAGTATTTTCCAGGCGAGGTCTGACCAAAGGTGAAGAGAGTGGCACTATAACTTTCCTCAGTCATCTGGATACTATACTTCTGTTGATGCAAACTAGAATTGCTCTAGATCAATGATTCCCAAACTTTGGTCCTCCAGATGTTTGGGACTTTAGCTGCCAGAATTCCTGACAATTGGCCAAGCTGGCTGGGGCTTCTGGGAGCTGAAGTCCAAAACACCTGGAAGAAGAAAGTTTGGGAGTCACTGCTCTAGACTTTAGCCCAGACTTTAAAAGAGCTATCCAAGGAACTATCCTATGTGGAGGACAGGGTTTGGCACCTTGGATCACTCCTTTAAATATGGACTTAAAGGAGACTCCAATCCAGTTGTCGACATTTCCCCATTCACTGCTGGCTTCAAACATGTCCTTATATTCCTTCTTCTTAAAACCAACATTGCCCTCTCTGACCCAAAAGGAGGGTTAGGATTTTATCCACCGGCTCCATTCATTCATCCCACTCCATCTGCAAGGGCTCTGACAGGCATTTCTATAGCAATCCTATGCAAATCCGGACCCTGTTTCCCCCCCACACCTTTCTTCCCCCAAAGCCAAAAATAACCTAAAAGCAACTCAAGCTGCCAGCTCAGCATAAAGCATGCAAATTGCAAAATGCATATGCAAAGTAAGCATTTCTTGTACAGAAATCGGTCTCCAGCAGCTGCCTGGCTTCATCCAGAGTGAACTTTCCGATGGCTGACAGAGGTTGTTCCTTCAAGCACAGGGAGAATGGTCTTGGTTCATCGCAATCTTGGTCTCAAAATGCAATATTATGGTGGAAAGATTTATATGCAACCACAACAGAGCATATGCATACCTCTTTCAAGCGTTTGCAGTGCTTTGCAGGCACTGGCTGGAATCTGTTGGTGCATCTGTCGTCATTCTCTGCCTTCAAGTTGACCCTGAACTATAACAACCTTGTCATAAGGTTTCACTGGCTCCTTCCTATGGAACCCTGGGATTTGTAGTTTGTTGTGGCACCAGAGCTCTCTGACAGAGAAGGCTGAAGAGCTCATGAAACTACAAATCCCAGAATTCCATAGCATGGAGCCATGGCAGTTAAAGCGGTGTCAAACAGCATTCATTCTGCAGTGCAGATGCAACCTACGTTGATGTTATGTGCTTTGTAGTCAACGCCAGCTTTGTTTCCAACTTAAAGCAGCCTAAGGCAAACCTATCACGGAGCAAGTTTTGTTCAGAGGAAGTTTGCCATTGCCTTTCTCTGAGGCTGAGAGAGTGTGACTTGCCAAAGGTTCCTCTCGTAGGTTTCCAGGGCTGAACAGACAGTGGCAGCCCATGGCTCCCATAGCCAGTGGAGGAATGATTCTGCTCCAGGTTGTGGTTGTGGTTGTGGTTATGGTTGTGTGCCTTCAAGCCCTTTCCAACTTATGGTGACCCTATCACAGCTTTAAAAGACCTCTCCAAGGTGCCAAACATTTTTATCATGCATTCAGCACCTTGGACAGATCCTTTGACACTGTCCAAAACCAGGACTGTATTCAACACTCCTCGGGCATGGAAACCACCAGTTTGGTACTGAAGCTGGTTTAGGCGGCTGGCATCAGGAGGAAGAAGCCCATGGGTGCAATGGCCAAGGTGCAAAGTTTGCATTCAGTGAATTCAACAAGCGGAGGATGCAAAATCTAGGCTGGGGAAAAAGCAAACTGCTGCAGTCTATCCTAGCTTGGGTGTTCTTAAATACAACTTTTGCTTTCTGATGTTGCTTGGACACATGTGTCCTGGTTCTCATCTACCAAATATTCAAGGATATGGAGCAAGTGGCAAAGGGGACAGAAGCACTAGTCAATCCAGTT